GAGACACAGAGGTATTTATGGTTGCATAAAAATTGTGATAGAGACAGCTGTTCTAAGGGATTTCWGGATTTGTTCATGGAGATGTAGTTGTGTCTGTTTTGGTCTGAGCTTGGCTTATTTAGGCAGCTGAGATGCCCTTGCACTTGTAATGAGCAATATAAAAATACCCTAAACCAAAGTCCTGGCATTTTCTAGACAGTCTGTTTGAGCCAGCAGAGATAGTGCTGTGTGAGTGAGGAACACTTGAGGAACACTTYACTTTTCAACCTGTGTGAACACTCTCTGATGCACTTCTCTGACAGCAAGAGTCAAGTGAATTTAACACAGGAAAGAGATGAGGTCCAATATTTTATTTTTTTTTTAATAAATTGAGGGAAACAGGGAACACAACTACTGAACATGGATCAAGCTAGTTGAACAAAATTTTGCTTTACTTTTGCATTTGGTTAGTGAACTCTTCCTCCCCTCGTGATGCTGGTGGAAGGATGAGCTGAGAGAGGGACTAGGCTGGCTCTTCTCACAAAATTACCCAGCAAAACTCATCAGTGCTGATTAGAGCAGCTGCTTGTCAGCATGTGAAGAAAAGAGCTACAATTCCTCACTCACACTGTCATGTAAAGCCACAGAAAAGTAATTAGCAGGTAAGATGTCTATTAATAGCTCCCACCACCTTTAGTTCAAACACCTGCTGATAAGCTATTGCTCTGTATAGCTCATCTTCATCAAGTTCTTGTTCTGTGATTGCCAAAATAGACTCCATTAGAGCTGTTCCTGTTGAGGTGGGGTGTCTCTGAAGATTCTGTGGCCTCTCGTTGAGGAATTGGATGCCCAGACTTGTGTCACTTCTCGTAATCTCTGCAAGCATGCAGAGATTTCTTTGTGCTYCTTTCAGCTGCTGTGAATATATTTTGGCTAATGAAAGCACAACTCGTGTTAGTGCTGGCTAAATGCAGACTAGGGGAAAACAAAGAACTGTCTACTTTGCCTGCAATTATCTTCTTACAGTGCTTGAAAATAAATGCAGTGCATTGCTAAGAAAACCGTATTGTTAATAGTATATTATCTAATATAAAGCATGATTAAACTTGGCAGTTTTTATTTAAGCAAGCTTTTTTTCCTGTATTAGAACACACAGCTCYAGTCGCTTTTAATGTGAGCCAGAAATATTAGTGATAAACAAAGTGGGGATTTTGTTAGCTTGGCTGCTGTTTTAGGATCCTTCTACTTAAAGGCTTCCATAAACACAGCTGCCCAAAAATGTATTTTGCCTGAAATTTCTCTCTGTATTTTCCATCTCTGGCTTTATCTGTATCATATTACAGGTGGAGGCTTTACTAAAGTCAGTGCCATCCTAATGTAAGATTGAATTTACATATGGCTCAGGCTCAGTGTTTTATATTAAGGAGCGCACACAAACACACACACACACACATTTGATGAATACGTGTGAAAATGAACTCTGAATCTGTTAATGCTTCCTCTTCTTTCCCTCATATCTGATGATGAAAAAAGGCATCTGAAAAAGAATGTGGCTGTGGGTGGCAATCACTTAGATATTAAGAGGAAGCCACTGAGCTTTTATAGCTGATTTTCTAAAGACATGTATACATAAATGCAGCCTATTCTCTTGTTGTAGAAAAAATTCCGAGTGTTGTTTTGCTTGGTCTGCACTGTTCAGTRTTGCAGATTTTTGTTTCTTCTCGTGTTTTGCTTTCTGGCAGTAGTGGAGGTCACCCCAGGGCATGGGGTGGGTATGGATTGGGAACCAACACCTGCCTGAGYGAGCAGATGAGGTACAGACACGGTGACAAAGGGGACATGGCAAAAGAGGGGCACTTGAAATACTCTGGGGCTGTTGAGGGCCATTGGGATCCCCGTGCCACCTTACTTTTAATTTTGTACAATCACACTTGGCTCCTTAGGCAAAGCCTGCTGAATTCAGAATTTCAGTGTTTCACAGTGTTGGAAAGAAAGCAGCCCTGTGAGAAGGCTGGTGGGCAGTTTGAGCTCTGTGGTTGTACCCCCGTGTTTGGGTGTGTGAATGCCTGTGCTGGGGCTTTGCTTTGGTTGATCTGTAAGATGTTTTTTTGGGGACTTAACCATTCATCCAGAAAATCCTTCATTTGTTTCTTTGCCCGGTAATTTTGCCAAAATGAGCTCAAGAAGCAGGATGAAGARCAAACCTKCTGTCTTTWTCTAWCTTACTCCTACCCACTCCTCAATCYCCATTGTGCTCCCTCAGCCAGWMCAACCACAGAAAACTGCRGTAAAAAMCAGATAWATTTGTATCTGATGTTTATCTCTTTACTTTGRACCGATTTAGTAAGTTATTAGCTATGATCCATTTAGCTGCATAATAAAGTACCTTTTACTTTTCATTCCCAATTACTTGTTTTCATCTTGCAATTTTTTATTTATAACCCAATGCTATCTGTTGTATAATTGCTCTTGAATATTTACAYGGTGGAAAAGTCACTGCCCAAACATACAATTTGTCTAATTGGAGACTGAATGTGGTGGCAGAGAACAGCATCTGTGTARTTGAGAAACATGCCTGCAAAGCCTTCCTTACCCAAAATAAGGATGTTCATAAAGATTCCCAGTAATGGTTTATAAAGTACAGCCTTAGTGTATGGTCAGTGCCCCCTTGGGCTGAGTTCCAAAGGGCATTCTCTGCAYGGATGGGTGGTTGTTGTTTTTGTGGCTCCCCAAGTGGGAGTYGTGATGGTTCGTTATCAGAATCTCAGAGTGCAAAAGAAAACGAGGGGCAAATATRTATGTATTTTAAATAATCAAGAATAATCGATTTGGATTTTTTGGGATAGAAGAGGGTGAGAGAGAGAGAAAGTGAGAGAGAGAGAGAGAGAAAGAGTGGGTTTATAGCTACCAATGGCTCTGAAGAGCCTGCACGGTCTGGATTCCATGGATTCGTCGACGTCCGTTGGGGGGATCCCATCAGGGTCTTTTCAGAGAGACTCTTTATAGTCCTTTTGAAAGCGGGTGGCAGCAGCCAGGGGGTTGCAAAGTATGGAAAAATCGGCCAAGCGGTGGGGAAAGAATGTCCATTTTTCCATGAGGTGTGCAGTGTGGGGTCGCGCCGCTCTCTTTCCGTCTCCATGTCAGGAGCAGCGCAGCCATCCATGGTTTACATGTTGTACCTTCCAGCCTGGGAGCTGGAAACTTGGCAGTCATCCCACCTTGATCAGGCTCGGACTCCTTTAAGCAAAAAGTCCCCCTTTCTTCCCCTCGGGGTTCTCTTTTTTGGGGTGTTCAGTCTCAGTCCATCTCGATGATCGTGAGACAGTCAAAGGTCTTCTGTACGGTCTCTTACACTCCCTCCCAAAGTGTGTTCAGTTTACAGGCACGCAGAGCTGGCTGAGAGATGGCAGAGCTGGCTGAGAGATGGCAGAGCTGGCTGAGAGATGGCAGATGAGCCGTGTGCTGTGGTCTCTCCTTTCTTACAGAGCCCCCACTGCCATGGGAGTGGATTTTGTGGCAGGGCTGGGGGCTCACTGGGACTGGCTTCAGTATAATGTTCCTGCAGTGCCTGTGTAGYTAAAGAGGATTTAATTCATTTAGTAGATGGTTTGGATTTAGGACCATGACAACTGCTGTAAATAATTGCCATCTCACCCCCCTCTAATTCCTGTAGAAAAAGACTAAGGTAAATAAGCTTCAGGAATCTTAAATTAGCATTGATGAGTGTGTCTCTTCTCCCATCTCTTCTTGTGGACAGATCAACACTGGGGGCAAAGCAGGGGCATCGGAGAAGAGCTGGGGAAGGCAGAGAGTGTCATTAACAAGTAGATTTTTCTGTGTGCATCTCAGGGGCTTTGTGCATCCTGCTTCATCGCTTGTGGTAGGAAATGGTCCATGTTCTRTGATGAGTAGCCTGTTCCAYTCTCAGCTGAGCAAGTTGTCAGTTCAGTTGCCATGCTATCACCCTGTGATGTGGCTGAAGTGAGACCCTTAAATATTCCATAATTCTCTTAMAGGACTACTAAGTCTGTGCAATTGCTTATTCCTTTGCAAAGGCAAAATAAGACCTTTTTGTAATAACTCTATCACTCCTTGTGTGTGTGAGGAAAACAAATCTATTGTAGAAGTGCTGATGGCACTACATGATATTGTAATTGAACATTAAATCAGGACATTCTCTGGTACTATTTTGGTGACATTTGTACTTTGGAAGGATTTCCAAATACTCTTTTTAATATCTCTGCATAATTATTTGTTGGCTGCTCAGCTAAGGAGCTTAAGAGATGGACTCTTAAATGGAAACAAAGTTTAAAACTTGACTTTAAATGAGTAATTTAGAGGTTGAACAGGGTAGCATTGTGTTTCTCTGGTCTGTGATTGTGTTGATCATTACTGCTAAAAAGAAGTATGCTAATTAACTTGCTTCAATCTCTCAAACCAAAAAAACAAGTTTAGTGTCCATACAGCTAGTAGCAAGGCCTTTTGCCAGGTGTGTCKAAGGAATTATTGTGAGACATGGGCTACTGATCCCTAACCATCAGTCTACAGGGAGAGCCCTCTGATCAAGGCTGGATTTGATGGGATTCTGAGCACCCTGCTTTAGTGGAAGATATCTCTGCCCATGGCAGGGGTGTTGGAATTGGATGATCTTTAAGGTCCTTTCCAACCCTCACCATTCTGTGATTCTGGTAATTTACTGACAGTCATGTGCTGCTTTGAAAAACAATTTCCCAGACTAGGTTTTTTTCTTCATTTTGAGATGTTTTTTTTTTTCTCAGTACGCTTTGAACAAGCTAAAGGATCACTCATAATTTTGCTCTTTTGTTCTGTTTTTATGCTCTTCAGAAGCAGAACATGCTATACATTTAAAAACTAGTGAGTGGGTGTATTTATACCTTAATTATTAGGGATGGTTAAGTTCTGCAGTAGAAGAGCCATCTTATTGTTCTTGGTTCTTCCTGTTCATCGTTAATGCTAACTTTTATTTCCTTTTTTTTTGTTTTTTGTTTTTTTCAATGCAGAACTATGGTTTGGAAACAGAAAAYCTAAAAACCCTTTCTCACAAACTGAATGCATCTGCCAAAAATCTTCAGAATTTCATCACKGGGAGGAGGAGGAGTGGTCACTATGATGGAAGGACCAGTCGCAAATTACCAAATGATTTTCTGACATCGGTAGTGGATCTCATTGGAGCAGCTAAAAGTCTTCTGGCTTGGTTGGACAGGTAAAATCTCCCAAATGTCTCACAGGTAACCAGATCATGCACAGGCAGAAGCCCCAACTTCTTTACAAAATGTAATGTAGACMCTGAATGGAAGCAGAGTACATTCACATATTCTAAGGGGATGTTTGTACCAATTTTTTTTTTAATGTAATTCAGATTAGTCTTTCAGTACAATTCCTCTGAATGCATTGTGATCCTATACATATATACAGCAAAGCAACAGGATGACATCATTAGGTTATGTATGTATTTTTATTAATATAGAGCAACACTTTGACCTGTATAAGTTGGATTTATTGCTTTGATACTATCAGATTCACAAAACTGGTCATACTTGGGTGTCAAAGTATAGTTCCAGAGTGTGTGTGTATTTAAACATGCATGTTCTGTTTCARGTTTTTCAAATGGCAGTCAAATATCTCTGAAACTGCAAAGGCAATTGGAGCTGTTTTRCACTTTCACCTCTGTTATTTAGGAAGTATATGGGACTGGGACTAAAGTGCTCCTTTTTGCTACATTTGTAGTGACTTTTTTCTAATTATAACAAGAGTAATATGCAGCTATTTAAGATGATCATTGAAATTCCTRAAGTGGTTAAAATTAGTCTATCTGTAGGTCTTTATATAATGCATAACAGTGAATTTTACATCAGAGAAAAAAAAATACTTGTCTTGATTTAAAGGTCTATCTTTGTATCCAGTAGCTGAAGTTTTGTTCAGAGTATGATCTTCCTGTAACATTTAAAATCCAACAGAATTATTTGATTTTACTGCTACATGTTTTGTGTTTCATTTTCCTGAGGAAAACTGGCTTCTGTCCCATAAATTATTTCCATATGAATAGTTTGGGTCAGGTCTGAATCTTTTCCATTTCTTTAGCTGAACTGCAAGCTCTTTCTTTTTTTTTTAGGAGATTGCAGCTACTGTTATTTCATTTCTACTCCTTCTCTTGCCTTTCTCCAAATTTCAAACCCAGAATACCTAAAGCTGGTTCCTACCTTTCTCTTTAGATATTTAACTTAAGGTATTTAAGATGAAGAAGTTGGAAAGACTTTTGCATTGAGGCTTGAAAAATTTGGAGTATATTTTTAGCTTTGTCTCTAGCCTGTTATTACTTGGAATATCTGTAGGCTTCACYTTTTCTCCATGAAAAGTCTTTTTATTTTTTGTAGAGAAGCCTATAATTCTGGGCTTTAAAGCAGAAAGAACAGTAGAAAAACAAATTCATTTGCATGGACWAGTCAGTTTTTGCCACTTCTTTCTATTTAGAAATAATCTGGTTTCTCATTGRAACTGTGGTCATGATTAATGATTGTTAGCTACTAAGTCAAAGTTCTTTTTGGGTTTTGGTTGTTTGTTTGATGGGGTTTTGAGGGTTTTTTTGCTGTTATTCTAAAGTCAACTTTTGTGTGCCCACACATATTTAACACATTGGAGAACAATGGGGTTTTGCAACTTAATATGAATTTAATAATTKAAGTTCAGGAAGAAGGTAGTTGTTTATATTAGAAAACATCTCCCTCTGAGGATTGATGTGTCACTGTACTACTGTGCACAGCATGTACTTTTGCATTTAGCTGAAATGAGATGGCAGCTGATGAGACCCAGGAATTCCAAGAAGTTAAAAATGAGGACAATCATGGTGGWATCACACTTTGGCCAAAGCTCTCTTGACTGTCCAAAGAAGGCTTCAGATTTCTAGGAAATTTTTGAAGATCTAAACACCTGATTCTAAGAAATATTTTCTGAAGTATTTTAAGACTTTTCTGATTTATGAGCGTCAGGGTATTTTCGTAAAGTTTTTCTTCCTTGTTTGTGAAGACCMTGAATGAGGATGAAGGTAGGCCAATAACTGCATTTTTCTCAGGAACTGGGAACATTTGAAGATCAATATAATTATGCTTATTGTATAACTTCTAAAAAGATATTGGGGCCACTAGGGGGAGATAAAAAGATTTTAAAAATTGATTATTTAAAGTGAGGAACATGGATTTAATTTTATTCTGCACAGCCATTACTAATAAATCTGGACCTCAAATCTTAGTTTTTCGGTTAGTTTCTAATAGTTAGTTAGTTTTTCTAATAGTTAGTTTTTCAGTTAGTTTCTTTTCCATCTCATGGTTGTGAGAGGGGAGAGTAAACCATTAGGAGTAAAACATTAGGAGGAATGAAGTGGTGTTATCCACCCCATTTTAACAGCCCTGCTAGGCTGCCCCTATGCAGTGGTTTTTGAGGTAAAAAAAAAAACAAAACCCTATGCAGAGGTTTTTGAGGTCAAAAAAAACCCTATGCAGTGGTTTTTGAGGTAAAAAAAAAAATCCCCATGCAGAGGTTTTTGAGCTGCCAGGGAAAAGCAGCTAGAAGCAGCTCCAACTTGCATAGACGTGCAATAATGTGATTTTTATGTGTAAGAAATGGTGATCACTTCATACAGACTGTGCTTCACTTGTTGCTGTTGTGAGTGCACTGTTTATGATGTTTCTGTGGGACATTTACAATCTTAAAGACTTTGTTAGGCCTGGCACAATTATCTAAAGGAGTGTGAGAGCTGTGATTTGCTGAGTTCCTTTCACTGTGGTTCTTATAGGGCTGATCCAAGGATATTTCTTGTTCCAGGTCGTTGCCTGGAGCAGTCCTACTTCCAGATATATGTCAGAAATTGAGTTTTACTGAAAATTAGAGTAGCTTATATTGCCAGGCATTAAAAGTCTTTTGGTTTAGTTTCATTTAGCAGCTGGAAAACTTGGTATTTTCAAAAGAAGTTGGCTGATGATTTTGAGGAGCGTGAAATAACTCTCCAATAACGTTCTGTAAAGAAACTGTCATCACACTGATATGTTTTAGTCTAATTTTAACTTCCTGTTACTTTCTCAGCCCACAAAATGTATCCTCTCTTTCAGAAGACTTCATAGCTTTAAAATGTTGTGTTTTATACTTTCTCCCAAATATTCAATTTCAAATTGAAAAACTGAGAGTCTTTTGTGAAAGAAGGATGCATTTTTGCTTGACATAATTTAGACTGATGGAAAACCACACTTTAGGCTATGTACCTGATGTTCAAAGCAACTTGGCATTGAAATATCTCCTGTGATGCTTCTCAGGGATTACAATCAGGTCTTCTAGATAAATCTTACAGATAAATCACTGGCATCCTGTTCAGTCTTTACTTCTATAATTCATGAAAGTTTTYTTCTTTGGAATAGTAATATATGCCACCTCCTTTTTCTCTAGTATGTCAGGTTCCTGGAAATTCTTCTACCTTTCATAAGGCTGGTGGACTCCATTCTGATGAGAAATTTTTTTAAATGTGTCATTAAATTAGGATTACTGTCTTAAAATTACTCCTGTGGATTTGCAATACAAATGTGTTRCATTTTTGTGGCATAAAGCTATTTCTAATTTCATAAAAGTTATTTTTTTCCCCCTATGCACCAGTATGTCCAGTAGTATCTGCACATTTAATTGGAATTGAAATTAGGCATATTTATTTCTGTTAATCCTGGGTAAGATTTTGTTCTTACAGCACACATTTACAATCCACCTGAAAAACACTGTAAAATGTTGCTTTGTGCATGGGTGTGTTGGTTTTCACTGCCTCTGTGATCTCTGAATTATGTTATCCATCCATGGCTTTCTTGATTTAAAAGCAACATGAACATCCCAAGGATTTTGATAGTCAAGCTACCTTTTCTCATCTTTAACAATTTTTTTTTAATGATTTTACCATGTTACCTGCATCTTCAGTGACACCAGTGAAAATTTCTCAGTTGTTGTCCACAGGCAAGCATAAACTGAAAAGCAATGATATCATAGGGATCCCAAAAATTCTTCTGAGCCCCAAGTTTGGAGCACTTGGCAGTGCCTTCTCTCTGRTTAGGACACACCAGGTCTTGTACTGTATTCCTGGCTCATTCCTTTGTTACTAATTTGCTGATAGCTATTGGTTCCAGTACTGAAATTGTGATGAGTCCTAAATGAAGGGTGCTCAGTTTCCTCCAGTGCATTTTCTACCAGATCTTAGCAGATCACCTGGCAGGCAGGACAGAAGGTTGTGTCTTCTTCACACGAAGAAGAGTCGCTGGCACGACTTTGAGCATTGAGTTTGTATCCAAATGAGTTAAAAGCTGCTGCAAAGTGAAGACAGCCTTGGGAGCAAGAGAATTTTGCAAATCCTTTAAGCCCCTCATTGTACATCAATGCTTTTCTTCCATGGGACAGTTGGATTTAGAGGAAGAACCCTGTGCAAACCTGAACTGAGGTGACATTTGGTGGCAGTTTCATGAGCTCTGTGTCTTCCCATTTCTCTTCCTCCTCTGCCAGCACAGGTTTCTGGTGATATTATCTTTCATGTGGTTTGATATGTTCTCTTCATTCTGCTCCCCCACATCTCAGTTGTCTTTGCCAACCAAAATCCCTGGAAATCTGTATTTCCTGCAGATTGCACTAAGCAAGAAAAGAATTCTTGTGCTACTGGGCTTTCTCCTGCCTGCTCTGATAGTTGGGTTATCTGAAGCAATGGCTCCTTATGCCATGCATCCCATGCAGCATCAAAAGAATATGTTGGATCTTTGCAATAGTACTAATAAATGTATAAACTATAAGGGCAAACTTAGACAATAAGAGTGAGGAAGGGTTGGTTGTTCTTTGGGCTTTACTTGAAACTGCATTATAGAGACACAAGATAATGTGTCTTTTTCTCTTAAGTTCTTTTTCTCATAAGAATTTGAGAAAATAGTCAACTTCCCCATGTGTCTGTGTTGTGTCACAGATTTTTAATGGTCGTGAATTAAGATTTGTCAAGCACCACTGGATTTTTTTAGTTGTACTGTTTGACTCAGCCATCTGTGTGGGCAGAGATTCAATATGTCTTTCACAGCAGCTCTTCTGTAGCTCTTGTTTTTCACRCTAGCACTATCCCCTTTTTGGAAATAAAAAACTTAAACTGCTGCTGCAGATCACACTGCAGTCTTAAGTAGGAGGAACAAAGAGATCTTGTGGAGA